ATTACTTTTGTAATTTTTAGAAACAGTTCAATTTTAAAAATGCGGTTTTTTAAAAATAATATTTTTAATTTTTAAAATAATTTTAATAAGAAAAACAGAATTTTATTTATAAGTTTTGTTTTTTGTTTTTTTTTTATATTATTGCAAAAAAAAATTTGTAATTTAATTTATTTTACACTATTTTATATGTGGAATGTTTTATATTTTAAAATATAAACATTTTATATTAATTTTCTTATTCCTCTTTGTAATTTTTGTAATTTAAATAATTTAATTGTTTTTAAGAATTTTATAGAAATTTTGTAAAAATAATTAAATGCTCTTGAGGAAATATTATAATGAAAATAATTGAATTCTTTTGAGAAATTTTATTAATTTATAATTGAATTATAATACAAATTCTTGCAAATTTTTCAAATGAATTTATTTCAAATTTTATTGAAAGTTTGAAATGTAATTGAATGTCGTGGGAAGAATTTTTTTTAATTTTTGGGAAAATAATTGAATTGTCTTGAAGAATTTTATTAAAGTTGAATTTTTTGAAATTTTGCATTTAAAAGAATTGAAAAATATGAAATTGATATTTAGAAATAAAAAATTTTTTAATTTACATAATTATAATAAATTAAATAGTTATTTTTCCTATAGTTATATTAATATATTATTTATAAAAATTGAAAGTGCAACTTTCATGAAATTAAATTATTTTTTGAATTTTTAAATAAAATTATTCCGGAAATTATTTAAAAATTTAAAATAAATTCAAGTTCAAATCTGTAAAGTTCAATTATTTTTAGAAATATAAAAAATTTAAAAGTAAATTGAATATTTTCTTTTTTTAAGTATGTTGCGTTGAACAATAAAATTCAGAATTTTCTTTATATAAATTCTAAAAAATTGAATATTTTTCCAGTACTTTTGATAAAATTCGCGGTTTTTTCCCTAAATTCCCTAATTTTCCAAACTTTTGCAACCTTACGAACTAAAAAAAAACTGATACAACCCTGGCATACAGTTTTATGGTGCAAAAGCGTTCAAGGGTCCTTGTCGATAGACGTACATAAATCGAAAAAAAATTCCTTCACATGTGTTGAGAATATTAAACAAAAAAAAAAAAAAAATTTTTGTCAAAAACTAATTTCTCTGTACACTGAATGGTGCTACTTTATAAAAGTGTTTTGTAATTAAATATACAAATATAAATATAATAATAAGAATGAATCGACAACATCTAAAAAATGCGCGTGTAATACTTTTGACTGTAGCGTCAAGCTAATAGCGAGTTTAGTTTTCAAAAGCCAAAACTATAGCCAAGAAGCTAAAAGAAATTGCTTACTATTTTTTAATTAAAAAAAAATTTACTAATTAACAAAATTGTTCATAAATACGTACCACTCGATTGATCCGAGACGCGTGAGAAATAAAGGCGCAAAGTCGGTCAAAATTAATATCTTTCATTCCCTTAATTTTATGGTATTAAAAAAAAATTCTTAAAATACTTTGAAAATATCTTTAAAACGAAAAAAATTAAATGAAGAAAAAAACCCATTTTTATTTCAATAATACTCAGGGTCGTTTATTTAGTCGAGTATAATATTATTTTCTCAAACTTTTGTTTATTTAATCAAGTTTTGGAGCAAGTATAGCTGTTTTTTTTTTTACTAAAAGGTACATGTTTTCGCTTAAGCTGATTTTGAGGTCGAATATACTCGTGTGATAAGGGATGGTTTACTATTTTATAAATTTATAATAGAATTTATATAATTCTAATTTTTATCAAATATAATTTATGAAAATAATTTAATATTTTCAAAATCAAATATTATTCAAATATTCAAATAATTATTCAAATAATGGAATAAAAAATGATATAAAATATTATACAAAAATTTTATAAAATTTATAATTTTATAATTTTATAAATTTATCTTAAATACCATAATTGGAACATAAATTATAATTTCGAAATGTATTTTTTTAAGTTTGTACTTTTAAGTACACTTTTAAACTCGACCCTTAAAACACTGAAATCCAACCTCATTGTAACTTAAAAGCCATTCGTTTAAGTATGTAGCTTGATTGATGTACATCAGTGACAGTAATAGTCGATGGTGAAGATTATAACAGCAATAACGATTGTGAGATGATAATATGATCATGATCCTCGTATAATCAATCGACGCAGAAACGGGTACATTCGAAATTGCATTTTTAACATGAGATCATCATTTGGTTTTTTTCTCGAATTTTTTAAATTATAAACAATTATAAAAAGAGTCTTAGCCATTTTTTACCATAATACTTTAATCTTTATTGAAATTTTACCGAAAAAAAATAATTTCATAAAATTCAATTGTTTTGTGAAAAAAATTGTTATAAAACACGATTTACAGGCCACGGATTTTATGACTTTTTCGACTATTTTCCAAAAATGTGACTTTTTTCGACTTATTTTCAAAAATTGCGACTTTTTTCTAAATATTGCAACAAAATACCACATTTTTAGTATAAATTGCAAATTATTTCAATTTTTCTAGTATGAAAAATAACTATAGACAAATTATTAACAAATTATTTTTGAATAATTTTTCTAATTACTTTTTCGAAATATACAATTAAAATGATTTGAAACAATTAAAATTTTGTAAAATTTGATTGAAAATAATTGTTTTTTCTTCAACTACTATTATTAAAATTTTTGAAAATCAACTTTTGAAGAAATTTAATTGCAAATTTTGTGAAAATAATTGAATTCTCAAAAAAATTTAATGAAAAATCTTATTACAATTTTTGAAAATCAACTTTTGAAAACTTTTTAAATTTTTATGAAAATAATTGAATTCTCAAAAAAATTTAATAAAAAATCTTCAAATGTAAAATGAAAATGAATGAAAAGTAGCTTCCAAAAACTGATATTAAATTTTTTCTAAAAAAAGTAATTCTTAGAATTTTTGTTATTACAAATTTTTAAAAATCAAATTTATTTTCAATATTTTTAAAAATATAATTCCGAATATTCAAATAGATAGGTAAAAAAATTAATACAAACATTAAAATTTTTCAGAATTATTTTTAACATTTTTGAGAAAACAATCATTGTGAAAATTTTTAAATTAAAATTCCTCAAATAAAAATTTTTTTAAAAATATACACAAATTCTTTTAAGAAATTCAATTATTTCGAAAAATTACATTAGAATTTTTTTAAAAAACTAATTCTTAAAATTGTTTTATCATAATTTTTTAAGATTTGCTTCTCTTCGAACAAAGTAAATTAATTTTTTTTTAAATTTACTTCTTTAGATTCTTATTAAAATTTCGAAAAAATCATGTTTATAAGTATTTAACTATTTATAATTAAAATTCTTAAAAAATTTGATTATTTAGTTTATACTTTTCAAAGATTCAATTATTTTTAAAAGATTTTGTTAAATTTCAATTATTTTTAAACATTTTAACAAAAATTGAATTTTTTTAAAAATATTTTATCAAATTTAAATTATTTTTAAAAGATTATTTGACTTTTTTTGTATTTTTAATCGACTAAAGCGACTTTTTTTGTGTCTTAAAGTTAAACTCGATTCGAGGCCTGAATTCAGCATCAGATCTTTTAAAATATAAATATTAAATTCGATCAGTTCTTTAAGGAATCGTAAAAAAAAACAAGAAGCGTCAAGAGGTTTACAAAATTTTCAAAAAATTATCTGAACTTGAATGTTATAATCGATTTTTATTTGATTTTTCAACGTAGAATCCGAATTTCAACCATAAAAATAGATTCCATCTAGTTTTCGAGTAATTGAGGTTTAAATATCCCAAGAAACTTGTTTTTAGCCTCAGTTTTACGAAATTCAAAATGGCGGATCCAATATGGCGGAGAAATTAGAAAAGTTGAGCAAATGTCACGAAAATCACAATACGCGAGAGTTTTTTGGATCACTGATTACAAATCTGATGTCATTTTTACAAAATTCAAAATGGCGGGCAAAAATTTTGTATTTTTCCGCCATATTGGATCCGCCATTTTTAATTTTGGCACAACTGACAACAATTTCGTAAAGAACGACCCAAAAAACCTTAGAGTACCAAATTTCAAGCAAATCAAAGAGATTTTTAATTTTCTCGTCCGCCATATTGAATCCGCCATTTTGGATTTTAGAAAAAAAGAAAAAACCGCCTCTTTTGGCCCATTTGCACCTCAACTGCTCGCAAAACTCGAACAAATATTATTTTCATGATCAGATTCGAATTCTACGACAAAAAATCTGAAAGAAATTGACCATAACATTTTAATCGACAATAAATTTTTTTACGAAAGAAAATAATTTTTTACAAAACGAAATAAAATGGCTAAGGCTCGGAAATTAATTCTCTTGAAAGAAAATTCTTGTTAAATTGGAAATTAATTTTCTTTTTCGTATAAGAAAAATTTGGATTAACTTTTTTTTATTTATTTTTTTTTGGATTAACTCAATCGTGACAAAAGCTTAGTGTAACAGTGATAAGTGCGGGTGTGTTTCTGTGACTAAAAAGCCAAACAGAATAATTAACCTCATCTAATACCGTGATATAGTAACGCCACTGACTGGTTCTGGTAATATTTGTGTTTTTCAATCGAATAAGAGCACTGCATTAATTTAATGCTTTCTATTATAGTTAATAGTTTCACGGAATTTATTTATTTTTACTCTACGATTACCTAATGTTTCAACGAATGCAATTTACACGACAACTATTTTTTTCTCGATATAATTCTCAAAAAAAAAAAAAAAAAAAATTATTCAAAATATTTGTCTCAACTTTATTAAAATTTAAATTTTATTAACTCTAAAGTTATTAACTTTAAAATTTTTCCTAGCGATAGTTTTAATTAATACTATATTTGAAGAGAATTTAAAAAATAACTAATGAATAAATATTTTTCGCGGTGTATTGTATTTTGTTTATTAATTTATTATTTTATTAACTAATTATTTATTAATTTATTAATCTACTAATCTATTAATTTATTAATTTATTATTTATTAATTTATTAAAAATATACAAAATTAAACGAATCTAATTTAAAATAAATACGTTTAGAATTCAAATTTTCCCGCCTTTGGACGACATAACACCAGATGGCGTGAGAGTGACTAATTCGAAAAGCAGACAACTTGCAACATGACGTTCACGTGAAAACTTTTTATAAGACTTCACAGAAGAACAGTTTTGAACTTTCAATAATGCTACACAATTAAAAAAATGAGAATGTAAAAAAAATTAGACCTAAATTCGTATAAGATTTGTATCGACGCCTTCAATTTTTACTCGTAAAATATATTTCTGTCTTAACTTTTTATTTGGACTATTTCTATGTAAATTATAAAGATTAACAGTCGTCAGTCACTGAAAATATTTTAGAATTAAAAAAAGTCCCTTTTTGAAAATAGGATGAAAATAGAATTTAAAATAGGATTTTAAAGAATAAAATGTCGGGAAATTGCTTTCGTGAAAAGTATCTGTCAGGAAAATATAGTTGTCGGAAAAAAAATGAATTTCGTGAAAAATGCATTTGGAAAAACGTTGGGTAATCCTATATCGCGTATACACTATATTTACGCGCAATCTAAAAACTCATCTCAGTTCTTTTGACGTTATTTCTTAAATATTTCACTTACTATAATTGCTTCCTTTTCTGATTCAATTTTTTTCCCTCTCTAAATACTGAGAAAAAAATAAACAATCTATTGAATTTAATTTGCGACTCAATTTTTAATTTTTACTTTAAATTAACTTAGCGAAATTTAAACTTGTTATATCAAAAACAAGTCCGCCATATTTGATCGGACATTTTGATTCTTTAAAATTATTATCAATTACTTGAATCAATTATCAATTTACTTGAATCAAATAATTTTTATTTGAGCCAATTAAATTCTGCTTCAAATACTGAATTTATTGATTCAAACACAATTTCGTTGATTGAAATAAAAATTGTTTGATTCAAGTAAATATTTATTTGATAAGACAATCGGTTATTTGAATCAAATTTTTTTCCAGTGTAGAATTTTTTTTTATTTCTAGACCGATACTGAAGTGAATGTCGAAACAAAGGGTTCCAGCCTTTATTCGAATGTTCTCTCAATTTTTTTTTTTTGCATTATAAATAGTAAAAATTTACAAATATAGTAGAAATGAACAAAATATATTTTTCTGAATATTTTTCTTTTTGCTGGTTCTTTTTTTCGGCGGAGAATATTTATAAATGAAAAAAGAAGTGTATCGGTCTTTGGAAAAATACTAAATTTAAATTTTGTAATTAAAATTTATACTTCATACTGATTGTGAGATTTTGTTTTTAATTTAAAAAAGTGGCAATTTTCCATCGTTCACTTGTCAATGCGATAAAGTTTTTAGACTGCGCTTTTTGAGAATCGCGTTTCGACTACGTTATAAGAGCAACACACTTTTATATAAACAATTCATTCTGCAAGAACGCAGGCAAATGTAACATCGATAAATTTTGCAATACACAGGTGATAACTACGTATCTACGATCGTAGGCCAATACGTTGTTAATGCGATACCAACCGATATATTATTTAGATTGAAACCAAAACCTAATTATTTCTTTCCTTTCTGTTAAATTTTCTGTTTAAATTTTTTTTTCTTTTTCTTTTTCTTTTTTTGGTACTCGCCAGTTAGAAATATCGCGTTAGAAGGTCGCAAGTTCATTTTTTGAATATTTATAAAAAGCTCGTTGATTAAAAATAAATATTTGATTTATTTAACGGATTTCTTTAGAATTGTTGTATGTTTTTTTTTTTTCAATGGATATGCGACCTTCTAGACTCGAAATGTCATGTGACTTTTGCGCATTAGCACGTATGTCGATCATTGTCAGTGAAAATCGATGAATAATGTCAATCCGTAAATTGGTTTCTAAAAAAATTTTTTTTGTTTTTGTGTTAACCTTTAAAGTGCTAAGTGTTGAAAAATCACGGTCAGTGCTAACCCCGGTCTGTCAGACCGCTATTCCCTTTTGACAGTTTTTTAGTCATTTATAATTTTTAAAAGACAACTATTATAAATATTTTTTACTCTTTAACAAAAAAAGTCATTTCTGTATTATGCATTTATTTATTTTATTTATTTTATAAATGCAGTTTATGAGAACTGTCAGTAGAACTAGCTGCGCGTCAAGTTGCGCAGACGTCACTCATGGGAATATACTGGAATATACTTTCACTTAAAGCTAACCCCGGTCTCACAGACCGCTATACTTCAAATATTTATTTATATTACAAAATTTAACGAATAAAAATTTTTGAAAAAGTTGTCTCCTAACAGATTTTCGTAAAATATGAAGCTACTAAAAAGTTCAAGTTCTTATTATACTTTGAAAAAAAGTTACAAGCAAAGAAAATTTTAATAGCGGTCTGTCAGACCGGCATAGCACTTTAAAGGTTATAGCGACGACGCTCACTTACCATATCCTTCACCCTGTAGAAACAATCGAAAGGCCTCGCTAACTTTTCCTGGTTGTTCCTCCAGTACCATTCCGCAATCCGAAATCTAAAACATTTTAATTTCATTTGAATTCATTCTTTTTAGTAGAAAAAAAAAATAAATTGTTTCTAAGACGGTTTTTTATAAATTATGTCATAATAGATTTAACATGGCGACTAAAAAAGACAAAATCATTCAAATTTGCTTTAAACTTCTTACTCAGAGGTTTTTGGGGTCGCTGATTACGAATATGAAGTCAGATTTTTAAAATTCAAAATGGCGGATCTAATATGGCGACTAAAAAAAATAAAAATCACTCGGATTTGCTTGAAACTTGTTAGTTTTTTCAAAATACAATCATTTTTATTGTTAAAATTTAAAAACAAAATTATACAAAACATTAATCACTTTATTTTATTCAATTCTAAATAAATTTTTATTAGAAACTTCTACGAGAATTCAATTATGTAAATAATTGATAATTTATCTGAAAAATTGAATATTTCTTAAATTTGAATTCTTATAAAGAACTTTATCAACATTTTTTAAGATAATTTAATTTTTACAAAGAATTTCATTAAAATTTTTGATAATAATTAAATTCATTTAAGAAATGTAATTAAAAATGAATTGAAAATAATTATTACACTCTTAGAAACAAATTATATCAAATTTTTTTAAATAATTGAATGTTTTCGAAGAATTTTATTTAAATCTTTAAGAATAATTGCTTTTTTAGCGAAATTAATTTAGAATTATATTAAAAATAATTAAAATCCTGCGATGAACTTTATTATTTAAAAAAAACTTTTTAAAGAATTGATTTAAAAAAAATATATTTATGAAAATTGCGTTTTAAATAATTAAATTTTTTTGAAAATTGTATAATATTTATAAAAACAATTGAATTCTTTCAAAAATTTTTATTAAAATTATATTGAAAACAATTAAATTAGTATAAAGAATTTCATTCAAATTTTTTAAAATAATTGAAGTCTCACAAAGAATTTTATTAAAATTTGTAGATTTGTTTTTAAGAATTTTATTAAAATTTATAAGAGTAATTCAATTTTTCAAGAAATTTAATTAAAAATGTATTAAAAATAATTATTATTAAACAAATTATATTAAAGTTTTTTAAATTAATTAAATTCTTTTAAATAATTTTAATAAAAATTTTGAAAAATAATTGCATTTTTCAATCAATTAATTTGTTTAAAATTGTATAAAAAATACTTGAAATCCTGCGATAAGTTTCATTATTTATGAAAATAATTGAATTTTTACAACGAATTTTATTAAAAATTTTGAAAATAATTGAATTTTTGAGAAGAACTTTAAATTTTAACAAATAATTTAATTCCTGAGAAGAATTTTATTATTTATAAAAATAATTGAATTCTTGCGAAGAATTTTATAAAAATCTATTTAAATAATTGAATTTTTGTGAAAATTCTATTATTTATGAAAATAATTGAATGTTTGCAAAGAATGTTATAAAATTTTTTTTTTAAATAATTAAATGCTATCGAAGATTTATTCTAAAAATTTTTTAAACAATTGAATTCCTGAGACGAATTTTATTATTTATAAAAATAATTGAATTTCCGGAAGAATAATTTTATTATTTAAAAAAATATTTGAATTCTTGAGACGAATTTTATAAAACTCTTTTTAAATAATTGATATTTTTCGAAAAATTTTACGAATTTTCTATTTTAAATAATTGAATTCTTTCGAAGGTTTTTAATAAAACTTTAAAAAATAATTGCTTTTGTCAAGAAGATCATTTAAAAATGTATTAAAAATAATTGAAATCCTGTAATGAGTTTTTTAATAATAATTTGTAAAAATAATTGAATTCCTGAGACGAATCTTATTATTTTTTAAAAATAATTGAATTCCCGAAAGAATAATTTTAAAATTATTAATAAAGATAATTAAATTCTTAAGAAGAATTTTATTAAATCTTTTTGAAATAATTAAATTCTCGAGACGCATTTTATAAAATTAAAAAAAAAAATTTAATAATATTCTTAAAAAAAGTTGTAAATAGTAGGTTTTAGTAGATGAGTGCAAGGCCTACGAATATAAAGTCAGATTTTTAAAATTCAAAATGGCGGATCCAAGATGGCGACTAAAAAAAATAAAAATTACTCGGATTTGCTTGAAACTTGTTTCTCGGGAATTTTTGGGGTCGCTGATTACAAATATGATGTCAAATTTTTAAAATTCAAAATGGCTGACGAAAAAGTTAAAAATCAATCTTATTTAATTGAAACTTGTTACTTGGGGGTTTTTTTAAGAGTTTTTAGTTACATCTTTTTAGGGAAACCGCCTAATTTTTTGAATAAAAAAAACTTACCTTCATCCAAGAACTATTAGTGGGATCAAGTCGTCCATTTAATGTGACAGTATCATCAACATGAGGACTAAGTGATCCTGTGATGTTCATTACCGGCACGTCTAATGTTAATCCCTCCTTCTTACGAGTTGGATCCAATTCCCGGCTAATATTCAAATCCGTACGTTGTACATAACTATCGATAAATAATGCTAAATTCGTTGGATTTACTCGACGCTCGAAATAATTCTTGTAAACTTGAACGAGATCGTGATTCCTCTCTTCGGTACCCTGCGAATCATTTTTCATTGTTAATCCTATTATCACAATTATTTAAATACCTATTGTTATCATTATTAAGATTATATTAATAATATTATTATTAATATTATTAATATTAATTCAATATTTTTGGAAGCCATAAAATTATATAAATAAAAGATATTTTGATTCTTCTGTTTGGCCTGATGGCCAAACAGAAGAATCAAAACATCTTTTATTTATATTATTAATATTAGTTACATTTATTAAACAATAAACTTTAAAATCAAATCTGACTCACAAATAATAAGCTATATTTGAAAATAATGTAAATGAACTGCAACAAAAAAAAAAAGAGAAACAAGAACTTGATATTCTTTTTTACTTGTGAATTATTGGTTATTTAAAAGAGCGCGCACAAAAGAATTATTGGTTTTCAAAATTAAAATCACTCTATTCAAATGAAAGAGTATAGAGCAAAAATGTGTAGGGATAAAGGCGCCACGTTTTTATGCAATTATTTGTCTAGCTTTTAACGTAAAAAGAACTTTCGTATCTATATAGCGACAAAATCATATCATCGTGAAAGCATGCCTCTCGCTCTTAAAAAAAAAAAAAAAAAAAAAAAGCACAATGCCTTTATAAGTAGAGAAAGGATCCGTTAAGTGTCTTTACGCGAGAATAAATCAGGAAAAAAGTCCCTTTAATAGATTCCGTTTAACCATTGATAAAAATTTTCAAAACTAATTTTTGTTAAAAGAAATACTTTTAAACATTGTTTCAGAATACAAACTTTTGATATTTCAATACAAATTTTTAAACAATTTTCAGATTTTAATCAAAGTCGATAATGCCTGAAAAATAAATAATTTGATTAAATTGTTAAGAATATTTGATAATAGTTTCGTTGAATAGAATTCAAGCAGGAACCAGGAATTTTATACCAAACCGGAAATTTTTTCACCAAATTAAAAAAAGTTTTATTATTTTAATTTGTTTTTAAAAAATCGCTGTTTATTTCAATTTTTATAGATATTTAAACTGTTCTCTAAATTTGAATTAGCTTAAAAATAATTAATTTGATAGTAAAAAATCAGTCACTGATTCAAATATAGTATGTAAATAAATTTTTTTAAAAATTATCGAATTAATAGAAATTTTGTGAAATTCAACTGAAAATAATAAAAATTTGTTAAAGAATTTTATTAAAAACTTTTTAACAAATCGAATTTTCAAAGTATTTTAATTTAATAATTTGATAAATAATTGAATTTTATAAAGAGTCACAATCTAATGTATTCATGTTTCTTAGTGCGAAGATTAATAATTAAAAATTTTATTAGTTAATTTAAAAAAAGATACACACTTAATTTTTTTTAATAAAATTGAATTTTTGCAAAGTTTTTTTGAAAATTCTGAAAAATAAGATTTTTGAAATTTTTCAATTCTATTGTTTCAAGATAATTGAATTTTCATAAACAAATAATTGAAAAATTTTGAAATAATTGAAATTTCTTTACATTCTATTACATATAATTAACTTCGTTTAAAGAATTTTATTAAAATTTTTCGAAAATAACCAAGGGAAATTAGTCACCGTGATTATAATTTTATTTTTAAAAATTTCTTCGCAATATATTTAAATATTTTCATAAATAGTAAAACTCATTGCAGAATTTCAATTATTTTTAATACAATTTGAATCGAATTTCTCGAAAAATGTAATTATTATCTTAAAAATTTTATTAAAATTCGTCAAAAGAATTCAATTCTTTCTAGAAAGTAAAAAAATTCTTTTCAAGAATTCAATTACTTTTATAAAGAGGAAAATTCTTCAGATTTACTAAATTCTTTTGAATATTATTTTTAAAAAATATTCTTCACAATAATTCAATTATTTTCATAAATTTCCATGAAATTCTAAAAAACAATTCAATTATTTTCAAAAGTAATCAAATTCTTCGCAGAAATGCAATTATGTTTCAAAACTTTTTTAAATTCTCCTCAAAATTTCAATTATTTTTATCAATAAAAAAATTTTTCTCCAAAATTCAATTATTTAAAAAAAATTTTAATAAAATTCTACGCAAACATTTAATTATTTTCATAAATAATACAAATTTCACAGGAATTTAATTATTTACACATTTTTTCATAAACTTCTTTGTAATAATTCAATTATTTTCATAAATAATATATTTTTTTTTTAGGAATTCATTTATTTTGATAAATAATAATAAAGATCTTATGATTTCTATTATTTTTAACACAATTTTAAATGAATTCCTCGCAAATGCGGGGAATTCTTAGAAATTTTATTAAAATTCTTTGCAAGAAGTAAATTATTAAAAAAAAATTGAATAAAATTCTTTGCATGAATTTAATTAATTAAAAATTTGTTTATAAAATTCTTTATGAGAATTTAATTTTAAGAAACATTCAATTATTTAACAAAATTATTCATTTTTGTATTTAAATAATTAAATTCTCGTAGAATTTTACTAATAAAAATATATTTGAAAATAAAATTCAATTCTGTTACAAAATTTTGAAAAAATTCTCATCTAAATTTAAATTATCTTTATAAATAATAAAATTCTTCACAGAAATTCAATTATTTATAAAAATTTTAATAAAATTCTTAGCAAACATTTAATTATTTTTATAAATATGTAATAAAATTCTTTGGAAGGATTCAATTACTTTTATAAATATTAAAATTCTTTGTAGAAATTCAATTAGTATTAATAAATTTTAATAAAATTTAGTTAATCAAATTTTCAATTATAATTATGGAACAGACAAGATTATTTTAATAATTTGAAAAAATTCTTTGTTTAATTCAATTATTTTACAAACTTTTAATTAAAATTATTAAAAAAAAACTTTTCGAAAAATTTAAAGAAACTTGTCAAAAAAAATTAATTATTCATAAAAACTCTAATAAAAAATTTGGAAGCCATTTGTAGATTTATTTATGCTTGAAATCAAATAAATTTAAATTTGATGAGAAAAAAAAACAGGGAAAAACCGGGAATTTTGTTGAACGAAAATAGTAGACACCCCGAATAGGATTCAAGAGGAAATAATATCAAGCCGTTCATGTATATTGCAATTTCTGATTACTATGTCCTTAAAAGTTATACGTAGGTGTTAATACAGTGATAATGAGCACTGAAAAGAAAAACAGGTTTGATGAGTCTAAAAATTACATTCTCAACGTTATAATCAAGAATTTAAAAATAGTTACACTTTAATTTTTTTTTTTATTGTTATTTTAATAATTTTGTTTTTTGTTTTTTTTATTGTTATTTTAATAATTTTTTTTTTTTTTTATTTTAATGTAAATGAATTGTACACTTACTCTGCCAAAATGATGCCACATCAGGTAATCGAGTACACCTTGAGTCATGCCCTGCGACCTTAGATAACGAACATTTAATTTCTGATAACCCCATTCAATCCAACCGGCCTGTGTCGAGACACAATTTATCAAGCAGAGGGCATTTATTTTTTCCGGATGAGCGAGAGCAAAACGCGCAAGAATATTTGCGCCCGCACCAACGCCAAATCCTATAACTGATTTCAAGCCAAAATGCCCTAAAACGAACAACAATTGTTCCCCCAAGTCATCCATGGACGGATAAATATAACTGAAACAGAAACACAATCGCTTTTTAAATTGTATTTGTATATCTCTATAAAATCCATACTATTTTTTTGTTAATGCAACACTGACCATCGCAATTTTTTTTTCTTTCGTTGGCCAATTGATGAATAATATTTTTATCAAAGGATTTAAAGAAAAATTACTTCTGCAAATCATAAAATTCTCTTTCACTTTGTTCAATGAAAGGGAATTTTTAATCTATTATTCTGATGATTATTGATGTTCAAAAGTCTTTATTATATAAATCCACAGGCTTCGTATTCTATAATTGATGCGGAAATTAAAGAAAACGAAAGAAAAATTTTTGGTCTAATGCGGAAATTTTTTTTCGCAACATTTCTGCCTCTTATAATTTAACAGATAACGTATTACTAGTGCTTTACTGATTTGCGCTAATTTGAATAATCCGAAGCCTTTGGGCATACACATGTTTTACATAATGCATCTAAAGGATTAAAATATGTTACTGTATTTAACAAACAGAACAAATACTACTGAATAACGATCTCTCCCCCCCCAGGCAAATAATTAATTTCTCAATTAATAATAAATTATAATTTAACCATTCAATTCTTTCAATTAACAATAAATTAATTTTTCCATTAATAGAAATTAATATTATTGATGTAGAAGTTAATTTGTACTAAGTTTCTATATTGCTCAACTTTGTAAAAATAATATTCAAATTTCAACTCCAAGAGGAATCGAACTCTGGACTTAGTGTGTAAACGTTCGAGTAAATTACCCCGAGGCTAACGGTTCATTACTGTAAAGTTCTACTATATGAAAGAATTCTTCAAATTTTCAAAGATAAACTTATAGTAGTTTAAGAAAATATTATGTGTAGTATATAATCAGCAGGCTTCGTACTCGATATTTAATTTTAAAAAAAGTATTAGAATATATTATAAATATTATAAAAAAAGTAAGTAGAAATAATAGTAAAAAAAATAGTAAAAAAGTATCTATCGAAAAATTAAACTTGACGACTCAATTTTTTATAATTTCTTAATTACATTCAAAAATAGAAAAATTTTTAAAAATAAATATTTAAATACCTATTTATTTTGTCTACAGGAATTAAAATATTTCAAATGATTTCAATGTAACGTTTTTTTTAAAATTTAACTATTTCTAAAAATTACAAAAGTCATTCTTGCAAAATTCAATCCTATTTTTCTTGAAATAATAAAATTATTTAAAAATCTAATCATTTTATTTTATTCAATTCTAAATCAATTCTTATTCGAAAGTTCGACGAGAATTCAATTATTTAAATAATAAATAATTTATCTGAATAATTGAATATTTTTTAAATTTGAATTTTTATAAAAGAACTTTATTAAAATTTTTTAAAATAATTGAATTTTTACGAAGAATTGCATTAAAATGTATGATAATAATTAAATTCATTCAAGAAATGTAAATGAAAATGAATTGAAAATAATTATTACACTCTGAGAAACAAATTATAGGTATCAAATTTTTTTAATGTAATTGAATTTTTGCGAAGAATTTTATTCGAATTTTTAAGAATAATTGCGTTTTTAGCGGAATTAATTTAAAATTATATTAAAAATAATTGAAATCCTGCAATTAATTTTACTATTTACAAAAATAATTGAATTTTTGTCATTGAATTTTAATAAAGTTTTTAAAATAATAATTGCATTCTTGTAAAGAATAAAAAAATCTTTTTAAAGAAATAATTTCTTTCAAAGAATTTTATAAAAATTCTGTTTTAAATAATTGAGTTTCTTTCAAAAATTGTACATTATTTATGCAAATAATTGAATTCTTTAAAAAAATTTTAATAAAATTTTTAAGAATAATTGAACTTTTTGTGGAATTTATTTGAAATAATATTAAAAATAATTGAAATCCTGCAATGAGTTTTAATGTTTATGAAAATAATTGAATTCTTGCATTGAAGTTTATTATAATTTTTAAAAATAAATGAATTCCTGAGATAAATTTTATCAATTATAAAAATAATTCAATTCCTGAGAATTTTATTATTCATAAAAGTAATTGAATTCATAAGGATTTTATTATTTTAAAAAATAATTGAATTCCTGAAAATCTTATTATTTATAAAAATAATTGAACTTCTGAGAATTTTATTATTTATAAAAATAATTCAATTCCTAAAAATTATATTATTTATAAAAATAATTCAATTCTTGTGAAGAACTTTATTACATTTTTTTTTAAATAATTGAACTCTTGCAAAAAATTTTATGAAACTTCTATTTTAAATAATTAAATTCCTGTGAAAATTTTATTGTTTATGAAAATAATTGAATTGTTTAAAAGAATTTTATTACAATTTGTTGAATTGTTTCTAAGAATTTTATTCAAATTTTTGTGAATAATTCAATTCTTTCAAGAAATTTAATTAAAAATGTATTGAAACTAATTATTATTTTCTAATTAACAAATTATATCAAAGTTATTTAAATTAATTGCATTCTTTTGAAAATTTTATTATTTATGAAAATAATTTAATGTTTGGAAAGAATATTATAAAAGGTTTTTTTTAAATGATTGAATTCTTTCGAAGATTTTTAATAATAATTTTAAAAATAATTGCATTTATCCAGAAGTTTATTTAAAAATGTGTTAGAAATAATTGAAATCCTGCTATGTGTTTTATTATTTATTAAAATAATTGAATTCTTTCCAAGAATTTTATATAAATCTATTTAAGTAATTTATTGTTTTCGAAATATATTATAGGAAAATTGTGTTTTAAATAATTAAATTCCTGTGGAAATTTGTTTATTTACAAAAATAATTGAATTTGTCACTGAACTTTAAAAAAGTTTTTAAAATATTTGCATTCTTGAGAAGAAATTTAAAAAAATCTTTTTAAAAAATGATTATTTTCGAAAAATATTAGGAAAATTGTGTTTTAATTTTTAAATAATTGAATTTCTGTGAGAATTTTTTTATTTAGAAAATAATTGAATGTTTGCGAAAAGTTTTATAAACATTTTTTTCAAATTATTCAATTCTTTTGGTAAATTTTTTATTAAAATAGTATAGATATTAAAAATCATTGTATTGGGAAAAATTTATGAGGTAATTATTGAATCATTTGAAAGAATTTTATTAAAATTTTTTGAATTTTTTCCAATAACTCTATTAAAATTTTTTTAAATAATTTTTTTATTTTAACTGTTAACAAATTTAAAGTAGTGTAAATTCTCAAAAATGAAAAAAAGTATCTTTTAGTGTAAAAAATAAAAAAAAGTATCCAAATCGTAGCAAATCGTAAAAAAATTAGTAATTAGTAAGTTATTTATTTTATTAGTAAGTTTAGTTATTAGTTTTATTTTACTTAATAAAATTATTATTTCTTGTAAAAAATCGGTGAAAAATATTATTAACTTTTTGGACAAAAGAGTATTTTTTATTGCTTACTCGTCAGGTAATGTGGGAGCGCCTTCTTCTTGTCCTGGTGCGTTCACATGATAAACGCAAAAGTTTTCTAAGAGAACGCGCATGTCGATGTAATTGAAGAAAGTCTGGAAGCTCGAGATATCTGAAATTAAATGAACAGAAAAGTAGTTCATCTCTGTTATAATTTTTTTATTTTTTAGCTCATTAATTTTTTTTTCTTCTTTTATTCTATTGAATGAATTTTTCTGTCATTCGAAAGATACAGTTTCATTTATTATTTACTTTTGTCAAAATAATAAAAAGGAATTCAGATTTTTTTTTAAAAAATATAACGATTGTTAGTAATGTGATCAAATCTCGTGATTATCAGGTAAATTTCGATGAACGTATATCATCCTAAGTTTATAAAGCTATTGTGTAACTGGCACTTAGAAGTCACTTTCAACTACACTTTCGTCATAAGATTCTATTTTATATGTCCATAACACTTTATGGGAAAGTACTGTATAAAGATTATAATGCTATAGAAGTTTTATCGTTAAAAGATAAGTCGTAAAATTTATCTCAAACATACAATGCACTGCATCATTAAAAAGTAATTTTTTCGCCGACTCTTTATGCTTATTTTATACTTTTGTATATGTGCTTTTATTTTTTCATTTACTTACCCTAATTATTGTCATGTTTTTTTTTATTAAGGGAACATAGTCAGGGTTGGACCACATTTGTGCTTTTTATGATTTTTTAACTATTATTATAAACACAGAAGGATATAAATTTAATTTATCAAAAATAGTCTCTAAATTTGAATTAGTAAAATTGTTTACTAATTTGAATTAGTGACTGACTTTTAGCTTTTAAATTTAAATTAGTAAATTTTACTAATTAATTAGTAATTTCTACTAATTAATTAGTAAAATTTACTAATTTAACTTTAAAAGCTAAAAGTCAGTCACTAATTTAAATTAGTAAACATTGTTACTAATTAAAATTTAGAGAGTAAATGCAGGCATTTGAATAATTCAATTTTCCTCTATTTTATTTCCAACAATATAATTATTACATTGTTGAAAATAAAAAGAGGGAAACTTTTGTTGAACATCATAAATTGATTGGTCTAATTTTTAATATTGAAAAAGTTTTAACAAAAAAAAAATTACAAAAAAGCAAAAGTTTGGCCGAATATTGTAAATTGATTGCTTTAATTTCTAGTATTGAAAAAGTTACAAACATTAAAAAAAAATTTAGTCAACGTTCAACTTGCAAATATGAGAAAAAATTATGAAAAAATATGAAAATAAAATAAAAATATGAAAATAAAATAGAAAATATTAAATAAAATGGAGAAATACTCACAATTAAGGCCTAAATCGTGATAAGTAAGAATGGCAGGTTTTGCCCGATTCCCTTGAATTGCCACCAACACTGTACCTCTGTCGGTTTCGATTCTCTCTTCTTGAACCGATGCATCATCTCTTGTCAAATACCTAAGTGCTGGAAATTGTAGCTGAATATTCTTCAGTTCAATGTCGTCCATACTATCAGAAGGCATTGTGCTAAAGAGAAAATAAATTCGTTAATTTTTAATTTTAATTCACTGACATCATCACTGTAAAAAAAAGGTGTCAATTTAAAACCAATTTTTGGTATTAAATCATTATTCGGTTCCATTCTAATACCAACAGTTCTAGTTTAGCACCTTTTTTTTACTTTTCTTAAATTATTTTACTTAATTACTATTTCTTTCCATAAATTATGACTTAATTACTATTTATTTCCTTAAATTATTACTTAATTACTATTTTCTTTTCTTAAATTTATTAATTAAATTCAGGGTTGCCACGCTTTTTCTCTTTTCAAATTCCCTGACTCTTCCAGGTTTTTCAGGTTAAAAAACGAAATTTTTCCAGGTTTTCAAAATTTATATTTTACCAAATTAAATAATTCCCTGATTTACAGACAAAACTTTAACTTTTTCCCTGACTTTAAAAAACTTATTTTTTAATAACTATTTAATGATTATTATTTTTTCTTAGAAATTAAGAATTAAAAAGGTTTTAAACTTTTGAAAATCTATTTTCAATAATATAAGAATATTATTATAAAACATAAAACTTGCTACTTTATTACTGTAACTTCTTCAAAAATTATTTTTATCATTTCGATTATTCATTTCTAGAATTTTCAACTAAAATTCTTTTTCAAATACAATTACTTCTAAAAATCGATTCTTTAATATAATGTTTTTAATATTCAATTATAATCTTAAATTTTAACTGAAATTCATTTTTAAATCAATATTTCTTAGAAAATTCTATGAGAATTCAATTATTTGAATACAAAAATAAATATTTTATTGAATAATTCAATGTATCTTCAAATAGAATTTTCATATAAAGAATTTTATCAACAAATTTTTAAATAATTCAATTCTCTTGACAAATTTTATAAAATTTTTTAAGAATAATTTTATTTTTCGAGAAATTTGATGAAAATTGTATTAAAAATAATTGAAATTCTGTCAAGAATTTCAATTTCAATTTTATTAAAATTTTTGAAAATATAATTGAATTTTGAAGAAAAATTTTATTATTTTTAAAGATAATTGAAATTTTGACAAGAATTTTTGTAAATTTTGAACATAATTGAATTTTTTCGAAAAATTATATTACTTTTGAAAATAATTGAATTCTTGAGACGAATTTTATTAAAATGTCTTTTTAAATAATTAAATCCTTCTGTCAAAATTTTTTTGGAATAGTAAACATTGAAAATAATTGAATTTTGACAAAATTTATTAAAATTATTTTGAAAGAAAATGAATTGTTACAAAGAATGTCATTAAAAATTTTGGAAATAATTTAATTGTTTGAAAAAATTTAATTAAAAATGTATTGAAAATATAGATAAAGGTTTTTAAAATAATTGAATTTCTCTGATAAATTTGAATAAAATTTTTAAGAATAATTTCATTTTTCTAGAAATTTAATGAAACTTGTATAAAAAAAATAGTTGAAATTCAGCACGGAATTTTATTAAAAATTTTTGAAAATAATTGAATTCCTGAGAAGAATTTTATTATTTATAAAGATAATTTAAATTTTGACGAGAATTTTTGTAAATTTTTGAACATAATTGAATTTTTTTTGAAGAATTATTACTTTTGAAAATAATGAAATTCTTGAGACGAATTTGATTAAAATTTCTTTTTAAATAATATTGAATTCTTTTGTGAAATTTTATTGAAATAGTAGACATTTAAAATAATTGAATTTTGACAAATTTTTGAAATTATTTAAATTTCTACGAAGAATTTTATTAAAATTGTTTTAAAAGAAATTGAATTATATTTTTTTGAGGAATTCCATTAAAATTGTATTGAAAATAATTTTATTATTTATTTTTAATTTATGGTAAATAGTATTAATTTTTATGAAAATAATAAGATTCCTATAAAAAATGTAATTATTTATAAAAATAATTTTTTAATAATTGAATTCCGGGGAAATTTTTATTATTTATGAAAATAAACTTTCCAAGTTGCATGGAAACCCAGTTAATTAATTGTTAATTAAATTAACCGAGAATAAATTGACAATTACACAGGTTTACAAATTCAGGTGAAATTTTTGACCCGAAAAGGCAAGAAAGCTTTTTCTCGTATTTTTTTATGTGAAAAACGTAAATTAAAATTTATAACGTTAAAATAACGTTTATAAATTTATAACGTATTTAAAATTCAAATTTTAAAATGGTGTATCCAAAATGGTGGAAAAATCACTCAATCAAATTGAGAAAACAAACGGAACCAAAATGCTTATTATTATTTTTGTTTGTTTATTTTTTTTAATCTCCGCATAAAACGAAGTGGATAGTAAGGTGATAGATTTGATAATAGTTTTTAAAAATACATTTTTCTATTCTTTTTATTTTTTTTTTTGTCAAGTTTTTAAGTTAAGGGGAGAAAAAGACGCTTTTGTAAGTTTCTAACGCGCAGGTGAAGTACTTTTGAAACTTCTTTTGGTATGATTAACGAGCGTTCATATGGAGCAAACACGTTTGCACATTGAGGCACACCTAAAACAATGACAATGACTGCAACACGAAATTTCCTTTCAAAACTTTCAATGGAGTCAATATTCTCAAAAATCTTCTCCTCTCGTGAAGATCTTCTCTTTGAAGCAAACAAAAAGAATAAAAACCTTTTTTGTAGCAAAAGAATAAAATTCATCAACCTACTTCTAGTGATCTTAAATCTTTTTAAGCTTTTCATAGATATAACTCGATCATCTTTTTTCAAAAAGGAAATTTTAATATTTTACATAGAAACTTTCAGGGTTGACACCATAAAAATTTTATTATTTTTTTTTATCAGTTAATAAGAAACAGAAAACAAAATTCTCTATTATTTATTTATTTAAACGGGACAGTAAATAAATTTATTCATTTTAAAACTGAGACGAAATTGTTAAAAAAAAATAACTAAAATAAATTAATAAACTAAGTAAAAAATAATAACTAAAATAAATAAACTAATTAAGAAATAATAACTAAAAATAATTTTTAATTTTAGGAGAGGAATTTATCATTCGGTATTAAATGTTATTAAATGATTGTTAACTTCTTCCTTTAATATAAAAATAATTGTCTTAATTTACATCTAAAATATTTACTAGAATTCAAGTAGAAATTCAATAGAATTATTCTAGAGAACTTTTATAAATTGCTTACTAGATTATTTGTAGAATTATTCTATAGGATCACTTAAGTAAAATTCTGTATAACTTTTTTTACTGAGTTACCACAAGTTGGATAAATCAAGAAATAGTTCAAAAAAATAAAATTGGTCAGAGAAATTTCAGGGAATTTTATCGAAACCACTAGAAAAATATTTAAAAAATTTTTTACCATTTCTAGATATTCCATATTTTTTTTTTTAAATTCCTTGACATTTCTCTAATTTCCCTGAATTTTTTCCTAAATTCCCTGAAATCCCTGACCTGGGAAAACCTGTTTTTTCCAATTTTCCCAAACATACAATTCATTTTAGTAAATTCACTTGCAATTAATTTATTGATTATTGAGCTGTTAGTAATTAAGTTGAAATATTGGCATTAATTTCATTTATAAATGTATGTATTTATATAATAATAATAATAATGCAAATGGCTAATTTTAATCTAAAATCTAGACAAACATATTATTTCCACATTGAAGTGGATATTAATTATATATGCTGCTTCTCAATCAAAACAAATGCATTAGCACCTAATCTCTTCAAATTTTCGGTTCGTTTTCACATTGTTTATCGGAAAATTTAGTGATGCACTATATATATTTAATTAGAAGGGAATGACGTCAATTCGTGGAATATAATTTTCAGAATAAATCAAAATTATAAAAATGTTTACAATATTACGAAAAGGAATGTAAAGAGATGAAAATAATTTTTTTCACAATTTTCTTGAAATTAAAAACTAATTTCAATTCCATTAGTGGTTTTTTAAAATTTTAAATTCAAACCTTTTGCAATTCAATAACTTACGAGAATATTATTATAAAACATAGATAACGATCCATTTTTTCAGATTTTATAATAATTTAAAGATTTTGTCCGATGAGTGATAAAATCATTTCTTTTATTATAAGAATATTGTTACTGTAATTTCTTCAAAATTATTTTTAACATTTCAATTCAATTATTCTTTTCTACAATTTTTGACTAAAATTCTGATCAATTATTTTAAATAATATTTGAAAAAGTTCTTTTGAAAATTATTATTTCTATTTGTTTACAATTCAATTTTACGAAATTTCAATTATTCGAAAATTCTTCAAATGAATTTATCGTAGAAAATAATTTCAAATTGAATTCAATTGATTTCAATTGAAATTCAAATTCCTAAGAGGAATTTTATTATTTATAAAAATAATTGAATTCTTGGAACAAACTTTATTTCAATTTTTTTGAAAGAATTGAATTTTTGCAAAGAATTTCAAAAAAACATTTTAAATAATTCATATTTTCGACAAATTTTATAAAATTAGAATTTTAAATAATTGAATTTCTGTGAAAATTTTATTATATAAGAAAATAATTGATTGTTTGCAAAGAATTTTATTTAAAACTTCTGAAGATAATTGGATTTCTGAGAAGAATTTTATTATTGTTTATTAAAATATTTTAATTCTTGCGATGAACTTTATTAATTTTTTTTTTAAATAATTGAATTCTTGCAAAAAATTAAAAAATTTTATAAAACTCTTTTTTTAATTAACATTTTTCGAAAAATTTTACGAAATTTGTATTTTAAATATTTGAATTCCCGTGAAAATTTTATTATTTATGAAACTAATTGAATGTTTGCAAAGAATATTATAATCAAATTTTTTTTATTAATTGAATTCATTCGAAGATTTTTAACTATAAAATTTTAAGAATAATTGCAATTGTCGAAAAATTTATTTAAAATTGTATTAAAAATAATTGAAATCCTGCGATGAGTTTTTTTATTTATGAAAATAATTAAATTGTTGCAATGAATTTTATTATTAT